CTGCTTTATAAAGAATATATAGAAATAGGGTCTGAGACGGGAAGAAAGTTATCTCAGGACCCACATCAAGCCACATGCAGAGCTAAGAGCAGAAGTTGACCAGTTCTTGACTCTCCCCCATATCCTCCTGACTTACTGAACAGGAAGTGGGGGAGGGAAGACCCAACCTCCCTCAGTCCTGCCCTGGAACACTTTGCTGGGTCAGATGGACTCAGGTCCATAAAACACCTTGCCAATCCTTCACGTATAAGATCTCCCCAGCAACTCCTTCACCTCGCCCCACTCCTGTTCACATCATCCCAGTAAACCCGTACACGGGAACGAGGTGGGTAACCCAACCTAGAGCCAGGGGAACATATGTGGAGTAGCTGCTGCTGTTCCTTGCCCAGACCCCTTTCCTGGCCCAGTGCACCTGAGCACCTGTACCCTGACGAATGTGTTGTCGCCGCTGCAGGTGCATCACAGCACCTTTCTCCGGAGAACTGCCCTCAGACCACAGGACCTACTTGGGCCAGAGTTGCTTGGGTGCATTGGCCTCTACCCACCTACCCACATCCCTAGGGACAGCCAGCAGCCACCGAATGACTGACGCTTTAGCACAACAGGCCAGTCCTCTAGTCTCAAGGTCAGATTAGCTCTGTGCTACTCATGTCCAGAGTCCCTGGCACTATCAGGCTGAAACTAGACTCCGATGAAAAGCGCCTCTTTGCTCAGCTCCCTCCCTCTTCTATGTTGCTTCCTTTACTCGTTTATGTGTTTCTCCTGAGGGCTCCCCCTCCACAAATCCACCTGCCCATGGGTCCCCATATCAGGTTCTGCTTCTTAAGGAAACAGGGAAGCTTCTGAGCTCTCTCCTACCTTCCAAATTCTATGAACTGGGGGAGGGACAGAGAGGACTCTAAGCTTAGCGGCAGGAAGTCTGTCTTGGTGAGCAGAACTGAAATTTCATCAGAGAGATGCTTAAACAACAGCATTCATTCATGGGTCAAATATTGATTAAGCATCCGCTGTATGTCTAACCAAGCTGCTTGGCCCAAGCTGCTTGGCCCTGGGGGGCCCGGTGGGCCTACTCTGACCCTCTAAATTAGGTCAAAGGGCTTCTCAACCACCCCTCGGTCCCTTTTAGGGCAGTTGCCTAACGACAGTCAATTAAGTACACAGAACCTTGGAAATGCTTTAATTTCTTTTAATGTATAACAGTTACGCCTGAGTTACAGAGGAAGCGCTTACAAGCAGGTAGTTAAAGCAAATGCCAGTTTCTCTTTCTAATCTACTACTCCATATAGCTGAATAAATTATGGTGCGATTATATTTAAACACACGCCCTTGCACCCACAGGCCACTCACACGCCCCACTCGCGCTCTCATGCACACACACTCACTTCCACATGGAGGAATATGGCTGTGAGTCAAATATGAAAGCAACCAAGTTGCAGTTACTAGGAAGAAGGAATGATCTAGAGTGCTATGTAGGTATTTCCCAGGTGGGGGGTTGGCCATGTTGGAGTTGACAGAAAAAGCATCCAATACATAGTTGTCTCTGAGCATTTCAAGATGGCGGCCGGAGTACCCCCATTTGGTCTTGATTCGGTGCCTTTGCAGGAGAGCTGTCAACCTCAAAAAGTAACCAGTAGTTGAAGGGCACATCGGGAGCTTGGCGAGAACATCAACCTGAGAGAGGCCCCAGAGAGTGTCTTTTTTGGGCAATTGTGGATTTTCACCAAGTTCCAGGATCCAAATCTCAGAATGCTTCACCAGCTCCAACTAAAACAACGCTGGATCTCGGTGGAGTCTGGGCAAAGTCTGGGACCTGCTCTGCTCTCAAGCCATAGTCAGATTGGAAATCTGACCTTCTCATTTGTCTTCTGGGCAAAACTCCCTCTTCATCCTTCTTTCCTTCTGTCTCATTCCTCTATCTCTCTTCTTCATGTTCTTCTGGCAAAAGAATGGCAAAGGTAAATCAAGTAAAAAATAAGAGTATAAAGCATAGCTTGGTTCTTACACATCACTTTTTTTTTCATAGCAAGAGAGAAATACCAAATGAAAAAAAAAAACCAAAGCAATAAAAATGAAAGAATCCAACAGAGCCTGGAATGTATAATTTGAAACACACAATATGCAGATATATCCCTACAGATGGTCTCTGGCACTATCACGACACACACTGTGGGGTCTTCTTTCCTTTTTTAGTATATATATATATATATATATTTATTTATATAAAAGTCAACTTCCTATAAACGAACAGCACATCACCACATTTCCAACTAATGTACAATGAGCTCAGAAGAGGGACTCCCCCATAGGTAGGGCCAACAGCTACGTGTGATAAGTTGGAGGAAACATCTCTTATTTTGCTATGGATTCTATTTACAGGAATGGATGGGGATTGCTTCTGGGCCGGCCTGGCCCCTGGGATTCAGGTCTTCTTTCTCAGGCTGTGGTCAACCCTCAAGGTTTGAAGTCTTGTGCCTCTTTTCCCACATCCTCTCTCTGGTGAACTCATGAGCTGCCAGCCCAAGACGGAGTTTTATGGACTGAGTTGGCTAGACACATTAATACACAGGGCTTTAGGGAAGACTCGCCAGGGTTGGGGTCTTTTTCTGAATTGGGGGTGGGGCTCCAGGGAGAGCAAGTCCCGTGTTCTACCAAGATGGCGACGTGGGAGAACTCCAGAGAAGTTGGACGTAATGAGAAGTCACTTGGTTTATTCCCATTTCATCGCAGGGGGGAAGATGTCTGAGATTGGTCCTAGCATAGGAATGTCACCTCCTGGGAGTGAGGCTGGGCGGTTTTGCCCGAGAGCCCTGCTCCTGGGTATGTAAGGGGACTCAAGACAATTTCTGAGCCAGGCCTCCAGGGTAGAGGACTGACCATTCAAGGAATGTAGATGAAGACTGTGGTTGATCTTAAGAGCTGCTTCCTGGCTGTGATGGTTACAAACACGGGGACTGGGTCACCAAGGGACACCACAGTCTTCCTTCCTGTCCAGAGCTTGAAGAACCAAAAGCCTTCTGCAGTAGGTGCTCCTGTTGAAAACTTGCCTGACCTCTGTGTGCAACACACACATGACCAGGTATCTGGTGCTACCAAAGAGTCTGTTTGTCTCCATGCATCCATAGGTTCCTCTAAACCAGAGATACGAGCCACCCTGGTCATGGTCCAGGACAGGCTTGATGTTACCAAGTCTGAAGATGAGAAAACAGGTGAGCATTTGTCACAGAGGTGGCGTCCACGGAGGAAACTGTCCTAGCATCTTGCCAGCCCAGTTCCCCAGTAGGGACGTACTCAGGTTGACTGACTCAAGGCAGCAGCCCTTCCCTCCAGGAACGTCCTGTTGGCTGAGAGCAAGCGGCACGGGTTGAGCAAAGAGGTGGCCTCACGTGCCCAGCTGGGGACAAGCAACCTGGCCCAGTCTCTGTGGATTCAGTGCTGCGGCTTCTGTCACAAGTGCCTCTAACCTAGCAGCACTTGATAAAGGTGATCCAAGTGTGGCTGATAACGATGGTGAGGGTGAAGGTGAATATAATTTTGATAAATAGGTGAAAGGGGTAAAAAGTTCCAAGGGAGGCAAAGTCAGGGGCTTGAACCATTCCCCAAGGGTCTCAACTTTTAAAGAGAAGGATAGGAAGAAGCCACTGGTGTGGCCACGGAAGGCATCTTCCCCTTATTCTCTGGAACCTTTGGCGTCCCCTGCCTGTCTAGGAGTGATGGCCTGAAGACTGGCTGCATCTGTCCCCACCTAGCTGTGCTGGATGGGTAGACAGGGCCCTCTGGGCCTAGAGTGGATCCACACTGAAAGGTGCCACCGTCAATGGGACAGGGACATGCCCGTCACTCCCTCCCCCAAATGTTAAGGGGAATCCGTGGCTTTGCCTGTGGATGAGCAGTCCCTGCTCGTCCCATAACCCTCCTCCAGAGCTCTAAGGGTAGCTCTCTGCACCCCAGCAGCTTAAAGGGCAGACAGAAGGCCCCCTTCCCAGAGGGTCAGGCATGGAGGGGACAGGCTCAGGTCTCTGAGGGAAGCTTTATGAGAAATCGCAGCTCCGTGGGATTGTGGACTTGGAGGCATAGCGCAGAAGGCTTTGGCGACAGAGGGCTGCTGCCCACAAGCACAGGGCCCCCAGCTATGCAACGCCCCTCTGAGCCTGCCCTCTGCCTCTTCACACACGACTTGCTCCCCTCCCCCTCCCATCTGATTCAGAGAATGGGAAACTGAAGGGTCCATGGGCTCCCCAGGCCCCGCACGGGGTGGGGCAAGGTTCGAACCTGAACTTCAGTCTAGGGGCCTGCTGCCTCCGGGGGCCTGGGTTGGGTCTTTGCACCGCTGGCCGCCTGCTGCCGGTGAGCCCCTCCCCCCGGCTCAGCCTCTGCCTGGTCTTCCTGGACTAGATTCCCCACCTGGCCGCTACACCCAGCAGAGGTGTGTGGGGAGGGTCCTGGAGTGCTCAGAATTCCTGGGTGACTGCCCTGGGAAAACCCCAGGGCTAGGGTCCCCTCTCTGCTGGCGTCCCAGCATCCAGAGGAGGAATGGGCTGTGGTTCAGAGATCCACCCAGGAGGGCTGGCTCCCAGTGCTTCCGGCTGAGAGTGACCCTGTGAGCGCCACCCCCATCTCTGGCTGGGGTACTCACTGGAGTCGGGTCCAAAGGGCTCCAGTACCTCATCCCAGATACCATCCTCCTTTGGGTGCCCAAGGTGCTCTATTTGGGGAGAGCTTCCACCTCTGGGTCTGAGACAGCACAAGGGCCATGACACGATTTGACAGGGGAAGGGCTGCAGGCTCTCTCCAGAAACCTCCCGGAGAGAGAGTAGAAGGGCAGACTCCAGGGGGGTCGCTCCGGGTTCCTAAGTGAACGGTAGACTGGCTGCACATCTCCAGAGGGCTGGCTACCAGAAGGGAATGGGACCCCCGGGTGATGAGAGGGCTGGGCTGGGAGGCTCTCAGGGACCAGTGAGGGCTGGGCTGGGACTTGGTCTGGGGCGAGTCGCCCCGGGGCCTTAGTAGGCCTGGCCGGTTTCCACAGGCAGGAGTCCCAGCACAGCAGAGTGCTCCCCGAGCTTCATGCGACGCTGTGTGGAGAGGCTCACGTTTTTGGCCAGGTAATCAACAGCAGCTGGAAAAGAAAAAGAGACACCCTTAGAAATTGAGGTTCTTTTTGACTATTCTTCCATCTGCCCCATATCCATCATCCATCCATGCGTCCATTCTTCCATCCATCCATCCATTCACTCTTTTGTCCATCTATCCACCTATATTTCCTTCTATTCATCCACCTATCCATCCATCCATCCATCTATCCACTCTTCTGTCCATCTATCTACCTGTCTTCCTTCCTTCCTTCCTTCCTTCCTTCCTTCCTTCCTTCCTTCCTTCCTTCCATCCATCCAGTCAGTCAGCCAACCAACCAATCATCCATCCATCCATCCATCCATTGATTCATCCATTCACCCTTCTGTCCATCTATCCACCTATTCTTCCTTCCTTCCATCCATCCATCCATCCACCCATCTCTTCATGAAGCTCTTTCTCTCACCTCCTCTCTAACCATTAAGCAAATCTTTACTTAAAACTTTTATTTGCCCAGCTCTCTCACAGGTTCTGTGGAAAAGTATAGAGGACTCCACATTGCTGAGAGAATGCGTTCCCTTTCCAACACGCCTGTACATATGCCTGCTATGGGGGGTGTCCAGTGAGTCCCATGGAGCCCAGGTGGTCATGAGGAAAAGATCCTTCTTTCTTCTCTGGAGCCTGCGCCCAGCTCATGGATGAGACAGCAACATCCCTTACAACCCTTACTCAAAGATGAGCCAAGGGATACATGCAGACCGAGGAGCCAGGGACTTGATATGCTGGGAGCTGAGACCTTTAGCCTTGACATTCTGGCCATCCAGAGGGATGATGAGAGTCTGAGAATATGTGTGCATGTGTGTGTGTGTGTGTGTGAACAGCGGAAACAACAATCTGTGTAGTAATGGGTGCTAACATGAATGTTCACACATGAATAACATTCACACATGTACGTGTGGATAGATGTGGATGAGCCGCAGGTAGTTGTCAGTGTACATGTGTGCGCAGCGTGACGGCTAGGTCTGTGTGTGCACATGCTGTCTCGACTCTACTAACTGTGTCTGCCTGAGGCTACAGCAGAGATCAGCTCTGACCAGATGATTTGATTGGCATGTGACTGAGGCCTCTTGGCTACCTCCCAACCTGGGATCCATGGCCAAGGCCAAACCCACCCCTGGGACCTCTTGGATCCAGAGGTGAAAGGAAATGTAATGACTACTGCCCTGGACTCATGAGGCCTGACCCAATACTCTACCCGGCCCCTGCCCGCTGAGGGGCCCTCTAACACTCTACATGCCTCTCAAAGTTGAGGGCTCCTGCCTAGGGCTGGTGGGTAGAGCCAGGTGTGGGCCCGGCCAGAGACAAGGCCCAGTGAGTTCGGAAAGATCAGTAATTGAGACCATATTCCCTCAGGGTTCAAATCCTGCACCTGCCAACTTTTAGTGTGCGATGTGGGGCATACCATCTCACCTATACAGGCCTCAGTTTCCTCGTCTGTTAAAGGGGGGTAACCACAGCACCTAGGTTGAAGAACTGTGGGGAGAAAGTGAGAAGATGCACATGAAGAGTTTAGCATTGGGCCTGGTACCTGGTGAGCTCAGAGGCCTTGGGCTCTCATAGGATTGGGATTTAGTGAGCAGATGTGACCTTTGATAGAAGCAAGAAGGAAAGGAACAGTGAATGGGGCAGTCTGGAGTCCCAACTATCTCCTGGGCATGCAGCTTTGGGCAAATCATGTTGCCTCTCCAGGCCTGTCCCCCATCTGTAAAATGGGTAGAGCAAGTCCCAGCCTCCTCAAGGCCAGTTATGAGGCTCAAATGAGATGATATGCTTTAAGATGCTGGGCACAGAGAGCTCAGGGTTTGCACCCAGATTCCTAAAGCATATGCAAATGTCCTGGGGTTTTTCTTTTTTGGAGTGGCTGGGCCCTCTGTTCCTTAGCTTCCCAGGCTCCAGGGCCTGAGCTGAGGCTCCGGGTGCTGCCCCTATTGTCACTCAGCCTCCAGGCTCCCGGCTGGTAGCACAGAAGGGGTGGTGGTAGAAACCATCCCCTCACTCCGATGGTGGGAGGTGGTGGTAGAAACTTCAATCTCTGGATCTCTGGCCTCAGGGGGAGCCTGCACTTCAGGCATCTCATCTCTGCTCCTTGGAGCAGGTCTTGGGGGGTGGGGCAGGGCCTGACCTTGAGGAAGTAGTCGCACCTGCGCGATCTCACTTAATTCTCACAACTACCAGGCTGGGAGTCCCACCATCCCATTTTATAAGTGATGGAGCCAAGGCCCTGCCCTAAGAGACTGTGGACCTTGGAAGGTCACATGGCTCTCAGGCTGTGGAGCCGGATTCAAACCCAGGGGGTCTGATGCCAGCGCCCAGCCAGCGTCCTACAGGATGACTTCGGCGTGCGTGCTATAGAGGAGGGTATGAAGCACTCCACACCCCAAATCTTGCCTGCGCCTTGTTTTCGACTCCGGGACACGCGAGTGACTTGTCCAAGGGCACACAGCCAAGGCAGGGGGAACTCTCCTGACTCACCAACGCCTCTGCCTTCTCCCCTGTATTCCACTTCATGCCAAACTCTGCCAGTGTCGGCAGCTGTCCCGGGGGGTGGAGTGGAAAGGCCTGACTCAGACGAACCATCAGAACAACAAAGCCTGATCCCTCACACACTGAGCACTTTCCATGGGGCTCGGCAGACATGGTCTCATTTCATTTCCCTCCAGCCCCGTGGTTTAGGTACAGCTGCTCCCATTTTACGAAGCTGGAAAACTGAGGCACAGAAAGATTGCTGACTCACAGTCAGGCACAGCATGTGAGACGGAGGAACACAAATTTGTCCCGCTTGTGCCTCTGGTCACTTCGTCTCCTCCTTTTTAGCCTCTCCCGGCAGGCAGCCAGGGTCCAGCACACAGTATGACCTTCCCCAGGCCCTGCCCAGGTGGGCAATTTGACCCCAAGGAGCCCAACTTTACTAACGGCCGGCCAACTTCAAGGGCACCCTTCGTGCACAGCGCCTGCCTCTCCCTGGGGTCGAGCCGGGGGCCAGATAGGGCAGGGCTGTGACATTTCTCATTACAGCCTCTGTCAGTGGCCCTCCCTGTCCCTCTGTCTCTCCGTGTCCCCTCTCCTCTGCCTTGTGCCTGCGCCTGGGCTCTAAACATCTCAAATTAGATTAATCGGGAGTTGGCAGGAGATGCCAACCAGTAAACAAATCTCAGCCGTCAGCGCCTCGTCAGCCCACGGCCCCAGAGGAGGGCCCTTCTAGCCACAAATTCTTATTAGACTTGTCAGATCTATTAAAATTCTTTTCACACTTCTGCGTTCTATCAGCCCCATCATTAGTACGGCCCTGGCCTCTGGGAACACCAGGGCCATATTAATCCGCCGTGTGCCCCGTCCCTGCCCCCTGCCCCCACCCCCTCCCGGGACAGAAGAGACAGACAGATGGACAGATAACGGCCGGGAACAGGAAAAGGTGTGGAGGTGGCCCTGGGAAGACAAGAGGCCTAGGGAGAGGAGCAGACTCTCCGGCAGGAGGGTTTGGCCACGTGTGCCCTCTAAGCACACTTTCGAGGGAGGCTCTCTGAGGTCAGGGCCGTCGGCGTGGCAACGTTCACAGCGATGCCGGTACCCTCTCTGGGATCCATTTCCTCACCTGTCTGTACACCGCAGAGCGCAGTCATGAGTGACAGGCCCCATAGTAGATGCCCACTGAACGGTTACCTAGCCTTCCTCTACACACGTATGTTTTGCATAATTATACCCCGAAGCCATGTACATATAAAGTCGTGAAGATGCGTATTGCTATTGAGTGTCTTACACAGGTTTGCGGTTTGGCCAAAAGAGAACTGGGTTGGAAGCTCAGGGGACCTGGAGTCCGCCATTCACCTGCTGTGTGACCTTGAGAAAGTCCTTGGCTCTCGCATCTATAGCCTGAGGACAAACATCGACTTCGGGTAGGGTTTTGAAAATGGCGGGAAATGAGCCTGTGATTTGCCCGGTGCCTGAGGGCTAAACTCATGCATGGGACAGGTGTGAGCAGGTGACAGGTGGACCTAGACCTGCACAGCAGCTGTTTGGGACGTGCACGCTTTTGCACGAGGACTGGGAGCCCTGCCGCAGGCGTACCAGTCACCCGTGAACATGGGGCATGGGGTCAGTGGGGACACGATGGGTCCCTGTCCCTGGCTGTCCAGGAATGTCAAAGGTGAGGAAGACGGCCCAGTGGAAAAACTTTGGGAGTCAGATCCCTGGACTCCCATTTCCCAGACAGCAAAACTGAGGCTCTGAGAGGCAGGGTGACTTGGTGGCAGAATTAGCGGTTGTGGGGCCAGCACTCCCACGTGCCCCTCCCAGCCCAGCCCTGGAGTCTTGGGGTGGGGTGGGGTCTGCCCTGGGGCTCCCTCTGGGTGCGCCTGGGACATACGGTTCAGGAGCTCTGAGCCATACCCCCTCCTCCTGAGGATGCAGGGGTGGGGGGAGGGAGGCCGGGCTGCAGCTAGATGGGGAGAGTGAGGAGGACGCAGGGGAGGGGAAATCACTCTGGCCGGCCTCTTCCCCAGCAAAGGGGGAACAAATACTCCTTTCTCGCCTCCTGGGCCCTTTCCCTTTTGATCGCCCCCGCCTTGTAGCCCCCACGCTGACTCTGGGGTTAATTTTATTTCCGACTTGGGCAGGCGCCCCGCAGCAGGGCACGGGGCTCGGGTGTGACTAACGCCTGCCCCGGGCCGGGGCTGCTGCCTCCGCCTCTAAACTCTTTATCAAGAGCATGTGTCTGCTGTGTCTGGGAGCACGGGCCGGGCGGGGCCTCGCCTTGGCCCCTCTGGAAATGCTCGCACGCACACGCGCACCCCGCTCTCCACCATCCCTGCACGCGTGTTCCACCCCCACGCACCTCCTCCTCGCACACGCAAGCGCACACGGGCAACATCACACACACAGGCAGCATGCGCACACGCCCAGATGCACAGCTGCACACGGGGCCACACGGGACCACGTGGCCACGCCTGCGTACACACATTAGCATCCGCACCCCCATATGGACACGCTGCACATATATTGTACGCACCTGTACGCACGTACTCTAAAATACGTACACACCCACAGACACTCGGGCATCTGCGCACATCTGAATGCACACGTATAGACACGTACATATGACCACACACGTCGGCACGCTCCCGCACACCTCTCCACACGTGCACGCCTGCTGACTACACAGGTCCACGGAGTGACGTACCGTCACATCTAACACCCAGGCATACACGCACTCGGTCACACGTACACACCTGAGTGTACAGTTCAACATGCGCGTATGTATTATGGACACATACCCTCACGACCAAGTGTGTGCACTTGAGTGTTCAAATACAAATTCACATGCACATGACGGGGACACGGCTTGCTCATTTAAACTCAGATATGTGAACGGTCGTGCGTACATATGTGCCACTCACACACCCACACATACATGTACCCACACACAGAAGTGTGCACGCACACACGTATGCTGAACTACACCACACACACGAATCATGTGTATCTGTGATGCGTGCACTCACACTCATGCACACGCATGCGTGCACGTATATATCGAACACACACATACATGGGGCAGAAGCCGTGAACACGGCCAGGAGGTGGAGGCCGGCACAGCTGGCCCTCATTTAGCTGTGGAGGCCAAGGCCGTTTGGGGAGGAGTGTTTGGTGTGGGGGCAGGAAGCAGAGGTCACTGAGGCCGGGCGGGGGCTGCTGCGGAGGTGGGGACAGGGTGGCCTTGGGCTGGGACCTCAGCCTCTCACCACACGCCCTTCTGATTAGTTTGACACCAGCGGGCGAGGCCTTCGCCAACAGGGGGGCAGGAGGGGGGCCCGGTGACCTCGCCTCCCTGGGCCTTTCCGCCTGCCCTGTCGCTGCCCCGTCTGGCAGCTGGGGGCTGCGACCGGGTCTGCCTTTTGCAGCCTTTGGTCTGAGGGTCTGCTGCCCACCGCCTCCAGGCAGGACGCCAGGGGGATGGTGGTTGGGGAGGGCGTGGGAGACCGGCTCTAAGCGCAGGGTGGTCAGAGCTGAGGATGGAGTGGGGGGGGGGCAGGAGAGAGATCAAAACACAGCTATCCCCACACCCAGGGGGCAGAAAGGGGCAGGGTGCCTGGCATCGCTCTGTCCAACGTGACAGCCCCCAGCTTCATGTGGCCATCGAGCCCCTGAAACGTGGCCATGCAACTGAGGAACGGAATTTTACATTTTAATTTAATTTCATCTAACGTAACCGTTAACACCGCGACCTGATCTTGCTTCGCGGTTGGGAAACTTCGTAGTGCATTTGGAACCACGTGGGTGTGTAAATCTGCCTTTCTCAGTTGTCATTTCAGGAAATTTTAACACAGGCCAAGTACTTCCAGTGAAAACTTAGCATCTGTGTTCAAACGGGCTGGATTTCAAAGACGCAGCGTGAACAAGGAATGTGAAGCATCCCATTCACAACTTCGTGTGCACCACGTGGCAAAACGATCATCATTTCAGATACGCTGGGTCACACAAAATATGTTGGTAGAAATAACGGCACTTGCTGCTGCTTAACATTTTAAGCCGTGGCTGCTAGGAAAGTTTAAATGCCACTTGTGGCTCTTACTAGGCTTCTATGGGGTGACACCGCCCTAAGGCCACGTGCGTAGCGCGAGTGCAGGGGCCTGGCTCGGCATCACCTTAGGGACAACGGTCTATCCGGTCTGGGCCTCAATGTCCTCATCTGCAAAATGGGCGCCCCCACCCCAACACCGGCTTGCAGCTTCCTGCAAATCAACAGACCGTCCCCGGAGCGGGGCAGGGGTGGGGACGGGAAGGTCCGGGGCACCAGGCACTCACTCTGGCCGTACTGGCCGTACTGGTAGCCAGCCACGGGGTCCACGCCGTAGCCGCTGGTGCTGTAGGTGGGCGGGCAGTAGGACTGGGAGGTGGGCAGGCTGTCTCCCGCCTTGATGGAGTCGGCCCGCTGGCTGCAGCTGGCTGAGATGGAGGTGGCCGGGTCCAGACCGCCGTGCAGCGGGGAGATGGAGAAGTCGGCCTGCGGCTGTGGCGGCACCGCGCTGGGGTTGCCCAGAATGCTCATGACCTGCGGGGGAGAGACCATCAGTGCGGACGAGCGGCAGGTGTGGGGGGGGGGCTCAGAGGACGGACCCCGCGACACGTGTGTGTGGCGGGGGGTGAGCGTGGGCGGGGGGGACGATGCCAGGCGGGCCCCGAACAGGCCTTTGCTGGGGTGGCTCCCTCGAGGTCCCCACACAGCACCGAGGTCCTCAGTTTTCCTGGTTTGCTCGCCCTGGTGGGTAGGATGGTTCGTGGTTTCTCCTGGTTAGGTCCTGACCTATGGGGGGCCCCGCACTCTTCGGCTCTGGGATGTCCCCATGGCCTGGCTCCAAGGAGCACCTTGTGCCCATGTGATGAATGAATGAATGAATGAATGAATGAACGAACGAACGAACGAACTAGCTGACTCTGTCTCTCCCATCAGACAGGGGCTTCCCCAGGACAGGAAACTGCGCCTCCCCTGTCAGACATGGAGGCCCCCATCTTCCGGCACAAAGGTGACAGCAGTACTCCCGATCCGGCTGGCCTCCCCGTGGTAGGCCTGCCGCGCTCTTGACTTTGCCATCCTGCCCTACAACACCAACACCCGCGGCCAGTGCTTTTGAATAGCGTCGCAGGTACCCTACCTTGACTCTGGGAGCTCTCGGCGGTCTGTGGCCGTCACCCCTTCCCTGCTTGGCCCATACAGCAAGTGGGAACTCACCATCGGTGCTGGGAACCCAGACCGGCACGGGTGAGGCTCATCTCTGTAAACTCAGCTTAAAGACCTTGGTGCTGGTTCCCTGGGGTGTTCACTTGTTCATTCAACAAACATGCACTGATGGTGATTATGGTCCCAGGATTTCAGAGAAGGAAGAGCCATGATCCCCACCGTGGGGAGGCAGCTAAGGGCACGGCATCTCTGCTAGGAAGTGGTGAGGGGAATGACAGGGACAGCTCTCAGGGGGCTCTGGGAGCCCAGGGGACGGGGCTCAGCCAGCCTAGAAGTCCAGGAGAGCTTCTGGGGCAGGTGACAGTGGCTGTCCAGCTCTCCAGGGGAGAGAGTGGGGAAAGGCGGTGCAGACCGCTACATGGGAGCATGGGTGCCCCGCTCAGTCCAGAGAGATGATGGAGAGGCAGATCCTTGGGGGCTGACCTGCTGGGCCCAGGACCCTGGCGATGCCACCCCTTATAGGAAGGAGGCCGCAGGGCCGGGAGGGACCTTGCTGCTATGGTGCCCAGCAGCATGAGCTGAAGAGTCGGGCTGCGGCCCGTGCTGGGCACGTGGGCTGTGCTCTCTGATTTCTCCACTGGCTTCCCGGGAGAAGACAGGCTAGGGGCATTCGATCCATGACCTTGTGGCCAACTAGATATCTTCTGGAAACTTCTACCCTCTCATTTGTGACTTGTCTCTGCCACAGGCACCGAGGCACGGCGGGGGTTGAGGGCATGGATGTGGAATCCTCAGGCCAAGGTCAGCCCCTAAGCTTCTCTACTCACTAGCTGCTCAGCCTCCAGTGTCCCTTGCCTTCTGTGACTGCCCGCAGTCCTATGGAAAAGAGAGGGGGACTGTCCCTAAGTCAGAGGGTGACAGGGAGGAGAGGGGGCGTCTGCGTGCAGAGGGCTCCGCACCTGCCCAGCCCTCCGGAAACAGGAGCCCAGCCCCCCTAAGCCTCCCCTTCCCTTTTTCCTCCCCTTCCTTCCTCCTGGCATGAACTCAGGTGAGTCTCCCAATCCAGGGCCCTACAGAGATGTGTGGGGCCGAGTTATGAGCCCCTTCCCCAGATGAAATAACTGAGGCCTTCAAAAGCTTGTGGCTTCTTCAGACTTCATGGCAAATCTTTGGGGACTTCGAGGTCCAGAGGCCTGAGCCCACCCACCTGATAAGGTCAGAACTGCCTGTCAAGGATGAGTGTGGGCATCTGGCCTCTTCAGAGATAGGTTCTCATTCCAGGGGCTGGTAGCCACTGGCGTGTGTGTGTGTGTGTGTGTGTGTGTGTGAGTGGGGTGGGGTCATGAGCACAGCCTCTCCCTGCCCCTTCCGTCCACGCCCCCAGCACAATCCCCTGGGGTCACCCCCCCCTGTCTTTTCACTACCCACGTGCCGAGCCAGAGTCAAGGGCACTGGGACCCAGGGGCTAGTCTTTGCCTCCTCCGCAGCAGGTGGGCTAAGGTGGGACCTAATGGCGCATCAGCCACGTCTACACAGCAAAGACACACAGGGACGAGTGTGGGAGATGGGGAGAGTCTAGGCGGGTGTCCACGGAGCCTCCCAAACTCACCCTCTGCCATGGGAGCATCCGTGTAGAGGTGCAGGGGTGATGGCCAAAGGGGCCCATATGCAGGGCCGATGGCCAGAGGGGCCCATGAAGGGGGTGGTGTGAGGACGTCTGATGCCGGACCATGTTCGTTGCTTTCCGACTGTGGAGACGGTTCTCCTGGGTCTGGGGAATTCGGGGTGTGTGCTTCCCGGAGGGGGGGTGGATCTCAGGGCAACTCCGGAGTCGGCACTCGCCAGGGACTTAGGAGACCTGATTCTCTTCCACGTTGCCCGTCAGCTTCCCAGTCGAGACCCTACTTTCCATCTAAGAAAATCACCACCCACCCCAAGGCCCCCATACAAACACTGACCTTGCTCTCCCTTCCAGGGAGGCCTGGACTCTGAGAATAGGCTCAGAGGCTCGGGGAAACACAGAGGCCTCATTTCCCTTCCTTCAGGGGGGTAACTGTGGGGGGCGGGGAGACTCTGGGAGGGTTTGTCAGCTCCGGGGAGACTCCAGTCTAATCCTCCCCTCCCGCACACCACCACGATGCCAAGCTCACAAGAGGCAATGGACGGGGTGGGGGGTAACAGGGGGGAGGGGAGGATTGGGGGAGGGGAGGAACAGCAGGAGAGAATGAGCAGATTCAGGGATGGGCTGGGAGCCACACAGAGACCGGCAGAGAACTACCACAAGTCTGACCACAGCACTCAAGAATTATCAGTGGCTCCCCATCACCTCCCAGATAAACAGGACAAAGTCTTCTTGCAATCAGAGCACTATGGGCCTGTCCCAGCTTCTTTCCCTCTTCCCGCCTTACACTGTGGGCCCCCGCTACCCCAAATAATATGGTTCCCCAAAGATATCCGCTATTCATTCACTTATTCATTCAGCAAACACCATGGAATGCTACCATGTGCCGGGCTGCAAACCAGGCTGGGCTGGGAGCTCTTTGGGGACAGGATGGGACTGCGGCTCACCTGCCTCTGCAGCCCCAGCACCTACACTATGCCTGATGTGGGCTATGAGCCCAGAAAAACCCAGTTGAATTCGTGGATATCACTTAACAAATATTTAGTGAACACCTATTATGTGCCAGACGCCGAGTTAGGCACTGAGGACACTGCAATGAGCATCCACGACTCTGCGGCCTCCTGGAGCCACCAGTCTAATGAAGGAGGCCAGACAACAAACAAATGATACAATTTCTGATACTGAGAAGTGCTAGAGAGGAAAACTAAAGGGGGGGTGGTGGAATTGGCAGGTAAGACCACCCCACAGAGGGGATATCCAAGATAAAAAAGACCCAGCCATGGGGAGATGTAGCGGAAGAGCATTCCCGGCAGACCTATCAGCAAGTGCAAAGGCCCTGAGGTGGGGACACACACAGCAGGTTTAAGAAGTAGCAAGGAGGTCAATGTTGAGTGAAATCCTGAGAGCTGCAAGGCCTCCCGGGGCCGTCCGTCAGAGAGGGCTGGTGTGGTGCCCAGTGGCTTTGGGAGGCCTTGGACCCTGGGCCATTAACAGGCGGCTCAGAATCAGCTCAGGCCCAGGGAGATTTTCCTGTAATGGGATTTGTTCAATGGGATTTGCCCTGGAACATCAAATCAAATCCACATCTGGGATAGGTGTGAATGGGGATGTGAGGCGTCCGCTTACTCTCTCCCAGAGTCCCTGGCGGCCTGCGGATCAAAAGGCTTCCATTTCATCTAACCCCCTGTCTCTAGGCATGGCAGTTTCCAAACATGTGGGGGACAGGACCCAACTGAAGAGAGGTGGGATCGCTGACTCCTTGAGCAAATAGGCTATTAGTACCCCTATTTTGCAGATGGGGAAACTGAGGCACGGAGAAGTGAAATCACAGAGATCGCATAGCCAGTAAGCGGCAGGGTTGGGATTTGAACCCGGGTCTCCTTGGCCCCTAGCTGTGTTCCTTCCCAACAGGCTGTGCTGGAGACCGTGGGGGAGGAGAGGCCCTGGGCAACCCTTCTGAGCGGGTCCTGTAGACCCAAGGGGCCCTCCATGCTCCCCATTTGGCCCGGGGATCCCGGGAGCCCCTCTTTGCCCACAGAAGCAGGAAGCGTTTGCCCAGGGTTAGGGGGCCCAGCTGAGAGGTCTGGGGCCTGCAAACTTTTGAACTTGAGGAAGTCCCAGTCTGATGCGGTAATCCACCCCCCTCAAGAATGCTAAGGCCTCTCCCCCAGTGGGTTTTACTTTTTTCCCGGTGACCTTGCTTTCGCTAATGTATTACTTCTTGGTACGTTACCGTTACTAACTCAAAATCAATACCGACCTCCACATCTGTAAGGTTTTATCTGAAGGCAAAGCTCCGGGCTGTCCGTCAGGCTGAGTGACAGCCATCCCTTCCTCTGCCCCCACCCGCCATGGCCCCCGCCCGCCCCCAGCCCCTTCCTCTCCCTCGGCTCTAAATCAGTCCCAGCCTCCACCAGACTAAATCAATAAGGGGCAGCCTCAGCCCCCTTCCGCCGCTGGGGAGAGGCTGGCAGGTTTGGGGGTGGGGGCTGCGGGGGGCGCGCCAGCCCTCCTTCCACATCCTCTGCTCGCCACCCCCTCCCCCGGGACGCGGTGGCGCGCTCCCCTCCTTTAAAAGAAGGGGATGGGAAAAATGTAATTAATTCCCTCCGCTCCTGAGCTGGCCCCAGGGCCTGGGACCGAGGAGGCAGAGCGGTGGGATCTGCACCCTCTGTGATAACCGAGCGCGCTTCGGGAGCGAGGCCGCAATTAGAAGGGGATCGCCCTGCCGGGGCTCCGTGGCAGGGTGCGG